CCTCATCCCTATTTCATCTGGAGCTCAAGGCAAAAAAAGAAAAAAGATGCCTCTAGAGAGCAGACCCAAAACAAACAGGATAAGTGGTACCTTGGAGTCCCCTCTACAGTTCACTTCCCACTTCCCTGGAAGCAATGAAGTAGTAATTATTAACAGCAAGAAACTCCAGCTTTTACACAGGACAAACATCAAAGTCTCTGCAGCAGCATGATACCCAGTGGAAGCTGGAAAAATGATGCACACAGCAACAGGACTTGCCCAAAGCCAGACAGTGGGACTGTGGGGATGCTGAAAGCCACCCTACAAGTTCCCAAGTCCCAATTTGCCCCCTCTGTATTACAATTTCTTCGTTATTACATGTGCCCTCTCCTTTCTGTTTTCCAAGGAACACAGCATAACCAACCTTCCTTGGGATCTTGTGACTGCACTGCTGTCCCCACTTTGCATCATTTCACTAGACCTTGAAACCCATCCTTAGCTTTATGACACTTCACACAATAAAGAGAGACCAGGCTGTGGCTGAAGGGGCGTTACCTGCTCTGGAAAACCCAGATGTGTCCAGCATCCCAGTCACTGAGTTKTGTCACCCCTGTCCTGCATCAGCACGGAGCAGGAGCACCAGCTCAGCTCTGGCTGTGCCCAAATTTGGGCGAGATGTAACACCCTGACTGTGAACAGTACAGAATGTGCAGCCTCTAAAGATCCTCTGAAACCCCCTCAGAAACATCAGAGACAACTCCAGCTTGGTTTTCTGTTCACATCCTGCCCATCSAAATTACCCTTTCCATGCACCACTCCACTCTGGACATGGCTCAGCTCCCACCCAGGGCTGACATAACCCTCGCACGTGGATGATGCCACCGAAACACTCTGGGAACCTGCACTGCTGTGAACAGGGTGGAGAGGGAAGCATCCCATGGGGTAAACCCCTCATGGCTCTGCTGTCACCCCAGCAGAGTGGCAACCGAGCTGGAAAGAGCCTTGAGGGCACCAGGGAGGGGACACACACCTGGGACAGATCAAAAATGGTATCTTGTTATGGCTCTGTTTGCACTTGTCAGATCCCATCCAGCCCTCACTTGTCAAACAGCTTCATTGGATAGTATGTTTGTCACCAATCACAGCAGGAAAACTTTCCCAGATGTTTTGACTGTTGCTCTAACTTTAGTGTTTGTGGGGTCAGAAGGTGCCAGCTGCYTTGTACAGCTGTGTCACTAAAACAGCGCTTGTAGGACTGGARTTGGGCTAAGCCTTCCCTCCAAGTCATGCAATATCCCAAGTCAGGAGGGACCCACAAGGATCATGCAGTGCAACCCCCGGCCCTGCAAGGACACCCCGAAATCCTACCCTGTGCCTGAGAGTGTTGTCCAAACTCTGCTGGAGCTCTGGCAGCCTTGGGCTGTAACCTTTCCCTGGGGAGCCTGTTCAATGCCCAACTACCCTCTGGGGGAAGAACCTTTTCCCAATATCCATCTAAAGCACTCCTGACACAGCTCCAGCCATTCSCTTAGGTGGTCCCAAGGAGTGAGTCTTTCCAGAGTCTCCCTGCTCAGCAGCAATCAACATAATTCTCCGGCATAACTTGTAGCACAAAGTATTTTGGAAACAAGCCTCTCCTGCCTGCAGCCCAGCTGTTCCCAGCCAACTGTCCTGGAGCTGCTCATCAGGACMTGGCTTGTCCCAGGAATCAATTCCWGACTGCTGAAGTGCATCAAAAGAACTAAAAATACAGAAATCTTTCCCACTKCTTTCCATGTAGGCAGCTGCTGGAGCTGCCAAGGAACATGATATTCAGCCCCAATCGAGTTGGGGCAAGCATGGGAGATTACACAAGAGACAAAGCATTTCTAACACAGGATCTATATTAAGAAGCAATCCATGCAATTAAGAAAAAGTGATGGTAACAAGGATTTTCCAATATAGTGTCAGCCACAGGCCATAGAAAGAAACACTCTCAAAATAGTTCTCCTGCTGAAATCCAAACCAAAACGAGGTCTTTTGGGRTTACAGAACACAAATGTTTTAAACCCAACTTAGTTGTCCTATCCCTGGAAGTGTCCAAGACCAGGCTGGACAGGGCTTGGAGCAACCTGGTCTAGTGGAGGATGTCCATGCCCATGGCAGGGGGATGGAACTGGATGGTCTTCAAGATCCCTTCCAACCCAAACCATTCCATGATTGTACAATTCAGTGTTTTCTTTCCCACCCTCATTAATCATTGCTGCCATTAGTTATTTCCTTAATAACACCCACACATACCAGCCCACCTGGTTTTACCTTCTGCTCACATTAGCTTCACTTCCTCATTGTACCACAGCTGCTTTTCAGCAGGAGAATATCTGGATTCAGATCTCTGAGGTATCACACACCAGCAGGGTGACCCTGCATCCAGCTCTGCTGTGCCTCATCTCCCCAAGCAGTCAGCTCAAAAGCTCACTGTGGTTTTCAAGACTCTTTCAAATGCTCCCAGATATTCCCACCAGYTGGCTCAGATGTGTCTCCCCCCGTTGCCCAGGAAGTGTTGGGGCTCCTGTTTGCTAGTTCTATTGCTGAGCAAAGTCAGCCCAAGCTATTTAAAACTCCTGCTGTTCTAGGCCTGGGAGAGAAGAGAATGAGTTGGAAGGGGGTTTGGCTCACACACACCCAACAGCCAGAGCACTGAAAAACTGCCGGGCCAGGGAGTCTCTCAAACTGGGAACAGCTGGCAGAAATCAATGTGAACTGACTTCCTTGAGTCCTCCATTACTGAGTTTTCTTTCAGAGAGGCTGAATAGTGGATTATATTGGTTTTGCATGGAGTACTCTCCACCCTGCATTCTTTCCAAGTGTTTCTTCTGGTTCTTCTGGCCAAAGAATTGCCCCAAAACTGCCCAAAAGAACTCCCCAAACTGTTCCCAGGAACTGCCAGGATTGGAATTCAGGGCTTTGTCACAGACACAAAGGTAACACAAAGACCAACACTTCCACATAACCTGCCACTGACCTGCATCCAGAGGGATTCAACTCAGAGAACATTTAATTTTCTTCCCTCTGCGGAAGGGGCTGCCCCAAAACTCACTTCCACCTTCACTGGGAATGCTCCTGACTTCAAGTTCACTACAGTCTTGACCTTGGCTTATGTTGAGATTGGCAGAGCATTTCTGTGARCTCTGATAGCAGCAGAACAGAGCCAGTGTCAGAGATCAAGGCTRTGGATTTAAAAAGGTTCTACAGCATGGAATGTCAGCTCTCCCTGCTCTTGGCTGTGCTGACAGCTCTTGCATCCATCACAAACACCGTGTTTGAAGCTGTCAGACTCCCAGGACCCCTGAGTGATCGCCAAACCATCCCAGAAGTGCCAACACTTGAACCAGAGGATTCCCCTGCTCTGCTCCATTGTGTTTTCCACCTCTGASTCCCCTGCTCAGATGACAAGCCAGAACAAGCTCCCTCCCAACTGCCAGCACCAAAGTTACCTGCAGGCAAGAAAAAGTGAGMATGTTCTTCCTGCTTCATATTTACATAAAACCTCTTCACCGTCAGGAAGGCTCCAGTGCTGCAACATGAGCTCCCACAACTGCAACAGGTCCATGGCAATGTCAGGATTTCTCATTCCTGACCAATGTCCACAGGAGCCCAGGAAACCAGCTATGGGAGCCAAACCAAAGAGGATGTTTTAAAATGTGTTTGGGCTCATGCACTCAGAGGGCAGGGAAAGTTGAGCTTTGAGCTGATATGTGTGYTGCAAAGAGCTTTAGGAGCCAGGGGTTAATGCTGCAATGTACAGGTGATGTAATAAACACTCAGCTGGTTCTTTTTGTGCTCCAAGACTAAGCAGCCAAAACACATCTGTTCATCCTTCAAACACTGAATTACTTTGGATAACCCCTGCTTTCTCTCCATCAGAGGCTCTCATGGCCCTCTTCCCAAAGCTGCTGCASCACACTGTACAGCAGCTCCTTTAAAGAGACAAGAACCAGTGCCCCATTCAGAGACAGAGTCTGGTGATATAGAGACCTGAGCAGGCTGAGCCTCCCAGTAATCCAGGAACTACTCCTGCCTCTGAACAGATTCTGGAGTAACAGCTCTCATTTCCTGCCTCAACCACAAAGCATCACAAAATCATTGAGTTTGGAAAAGACTTGTAAGATCATTGAATCCAACCTAACGCTCAAAGTCACAGTACACAACACACAACGCTCAAAGTAAAAAGTCACATTTTCAAGGCATTGGGCAGGTGAAAATTACCTATCTCAGAGTGGTAATCAAGGGTCCCAGTGGTGRGATTGACTGTTACTGTTTATATGAACCATGTGGTGCTGCCAAAGCTGAGCCAGAGCAAGAATCAAGATGCTCACCCCAAATGGCAGCAGTTTCTCTTGGATTGCAGCCCAGCACACATTCCTGGCAGGAGAGGGGCTGGCACACACCGAGTGCTGCCAAGAGCAATCCAACAGACCTCACCAACCAGGAGCTGATTGTCTCTCTCAGCACAACAAGCCTGGGCTCTGTGAACCCAATTTCACTGATCCAAAAGCCACTTACAGCAATTGGATGATGGTGGTGACGTTCCTGATACTGTTGGCATGAGAACAGCACACAAATGTCCTCAGATGAATCAGCTGCTCTCAAGCACCTATATTAACCAGAAAACAGGCACAAATCCTGCTCTGGAGAGGCTGCAGTCTTGTTTTCCCCTCAGGATCAGTGCTTTTGGGAGCACAGGGATGGTTTCACTGACAGCTGGGGAAGGATGGTGATGGTAAGGAATTGGGATATGGAACTGTTACTCTTTGCAATGACATAAAGCCACTGGCTTCCTCTCTCCTCTGTTCTCTTCTCCTACCCACAGACCAGGGCTGATTTCTGACTTCCAGGAGTAGGTGGAAACAAAATCCATTCCCATGTGCCAGRAGCTCTGAGATCTGTCGATGACACAGATTACATGGGGCATCTTCCAGTATGGTTTAATACACAGCACGTTTGCATCACTCTGCTCCCAGCCCAGCTTCCCTTGGAAACTTAGGAGCAGCTGGCAGCCAGGAAGAGTCTCTCAGCCCAAARCCCTCACATGCACCAAAGCAAAAAAGCTGCAATGCCCAGGCAGAGCAGCTGCAGGGCCGTACATACCCATTCAGAGGAGAGGAGGAGCAGGAACAGGGTCCAGGTCACTGTCCCCAAATTGCCAGCCATCCTGAGTACTGGAAAGGGCAGAGATCTAAGCTGATGGCTCCTTGCTCCTTCGGAGTTTCCCGTCTCTTTGGAGCAASTCATACAACAGCTTCTCTTTAAATATCCTCTGGAAGGGGTGGGCCCTGCGCTGAGTTACAGGCTGGAACYGAGCCCAAAAGGGTGCAACACAAAATTCCAAATTCCAGGGAAGACAAGTGGATTCCCGTGGCTACAGTGGCTCGGGGGCTGCCACTGCTGCCTGCAGCTTGGTTACTTCCCAAGTGGGTAAGTCAAACCCCGGCAAAAGAAGGAATTTTTTCTTTTTAAATTTTTTTTCTTTCTACCTCCCAGAGTATGAAGCCTAGCACAGCTTTCCTGACACAGAACCTCTTTCCCTACCTGCAGCCATTCCTTTTCATCTTCAAGAGCTGAGGGGTGAATAAACTGAGATTTGTGGTGTTCAGAGTCTGAACAGGAAGGAGGGATGGGGAGTTCGGTGCTGTCAGGTACCACGTCTGGCTGTGCATCAGCTGTCAGTCATGGGGAATGAAAGTTTCATGATTAGAACTCCTGCATGTGGAGCTCTGTGTTTTACAAGGCAATGAAAAGCTCCTGGATTAAAATTTTTTATAAAGATCAGCAGTTTCTCCAAAGTTCCTTGGGATGGATGTAGGATCTCCCACATCTTTATCTCGGGTCATGATCCTTTCAGTTTGCTGCTGCCATACAGCGCCAGGCATGTGCACAGCCACCCCAGCAGACCTTTAAAACATGAAAGAGCTGCTTTGTGTGTTAAAAATCATTTTGTTTGTTCCAGAAGAGCAAGTGGAGCAGTGCCGTGGAAGGAGGAGGAGTGCAGCACTCTTTGTCCTCACTGGCCAGGGTGGGACAGAGCACTTGGGTGCCCGACAGGACCCTCTGTACACATGGAGTGACTTGAGAAAGATGGAGCCCTTCTGAAGAGTCATGGAGCTCTCCCGGGGAGAAGTGGTGCAAGGGCTGGTACCTTCTTTGGGCTGATACAAGGGCAGGAACCCAGGCACTCTACCTGTGCCACGCAGCCCCAGCATATCCCCGTCCCAGCTGAGTGCTGGGAAACGAGACAGAAGATGAAAAAAACCACAGGGAGTSTCTAGTGGGTTATTTAAATTCAGCCTCGTTCTTTCCTGCCTCCAAGGTAGGGCAGCTTAGCTGGGAATCAAGTCCAGCATTTTATCCAGGTTCTTTTAGGTCCTTGTGCAACACCAGATCAACCTCCACGTTCCCTGCATGTCCAGTACTGGAAACAGAAAACTCCGACTCTGAACTAATTAGCACCTTGTGATTTGGAGCTGGAGCACATTAGCACAGTGCAAACCACCCSGGGTGCACCTTCTCCTCTTGCGTGAGGTGAGGGATTTTGCAATCACTTCTGTGACAGTCACCCCTGCTTATGGCACACCAGGGAATTACGTCTGCACACAAAAGATTTCATGTTCTAGAGGTGGCATAAACATCCACAGCCCTCAGGCAGTTCAGAGCTCCAGGCAGTTCAGAGCTCCAGGCAGTCTGGCTAGAGATACATGCCTTCTCCTTTTGGAGGGCTTGACACCCTGAACTATGCTGTCACCTAAAATTAGCTGCTCACATTTGCCAAGACATTCTCCTGCTGCTTGTAAATAAGACAGGGATAAAGTGCTGCATGGTTCTGGTCTCATTTTCTCACATGGCAAGAATACAAACTCCAGCTGAATTCTGAGCCCTCCAGAGCATCTGAAAATGACATATTTGTGGCTTTTTAAAAGGACAGTGTGTAATGCCTGGCTCAATCCATTCTTCCTTCTCCAAGAATAAGACATCCCCCTTTGTCCAGTGATAGGACAAGGGGGAATGGTTTTCAGCTGCAAGAGGGACAGGTTTAGATTAGATATTAGGAAGAAATCCTTCCCTGTGAGGGTCGTGAGGTCCTGGCACAGGTTGGCCAGAGRAGCTGTAGCTGCTTCATCCCTGGAAGTGTCCAAGGCCAGGTTGGATGGGGCTTGGAGCAACCTGGTCTAGTGGAAGGTGTCCCTGTYCATGGCAAGGGGTGGGACTGGGTGAACTTTAAGTTCCCTTCCAACCCAAACCAGTCCATGATTCTCTGATTCTATAAGAAGCAGCAGCTGCCTCTTGAACTGTGATCTTCCGAATTCTGCTTTAACATAAACTTGCTGTGTGACCTCAGATGAACTGTTCAGCCAAAATCCCAACACTCACTCACCTGTCAGGAGTTCTATGGGAAATATTCATCACTAAACCAGCATTATTATGGCTGATTAAGTTTTCAACTTATAACAAAAGTAAAGAATAATTTGATTATAAAACATCCTTTCCAAGCTGYTCATCATCATCCACCTGAATGCTTCCACCTTCCCAGGGCAGCAAAACATATTGAGTTCAGTCCTATTCATTCTTCAAGGGATCTCTTGGATTATAGGAGCAGGATGTGAAGAAGCATCAGCGGGAGATCCGTAGATTTTGGGAGCTCGCTTCACCCATGGTCCAAGATTTTCTCAGGGCACTGGGACAACCAAAACTACCCCTCATGCTAGAGCTGAGCTGCTAACYCTGCTAGACATGCCAAGAGGTAAAAGAGGAACATGATGGTTGAGTGACTCTGAATGATCAAAGGCAGGAAACACCCAAGTTTGCACCAATTTTTATCTCTTCCTTTTGCCTGAGCTGCCTCGAGTGAAGGGATAAAGATGTCAAATCCTGCCTAAAATCTCCCCAAAGTGAAGAATAATGGGTGTTCATTACACCTTGTTATGTTCTTCTGGGTTCAATCTCAAACTGGCAGCTTCCCTGGATTTATAGTAATTTAAAAAGCAGACATTTAAATAATTGCTAAAAATCATGTCAAGCCAAAGAAAATCAAGGCAAGCAAACACACAGCTTTTTGGCTCAGTATGATCTCTTGCCATGGCACTCTGACTGCAGAAGCCAATATAAAAAGCTGCTACAAGCAGCATGGTACAGGGAATARTGCTCACCCAGTCCTGAGTGACTTCCGAGCTGTCCCCTGTCCCAAAGATGCCTGGTCACCCCTAGGATATGCTGGTGGCCTCTGGAGCCTTGCAGCAGGTTTATATTCTCACAGCTGCTCAGTCCTGTCAAAGTCACCTCTGGACTGGATGACAGGGCCCTCACTCCCATCTGGGACTCCTTCAACTTGGTGATACCAAACTCTTTTAACCTTATGGCATCAAACATGAACTTGGCCCAGAAGAGATTGTGAGATCCATCCAGCTCGATGGTCAGAAACACAGGGGTTCCATTTTCATGGTCATTACCCAACCACTGCTGCCTGCTTGATGCTCCCACACTCAGGGAGGGGGTCATGGAGGGGTCCTTTCCCTGCTTTTTCTTCCAGTCTGAGGACACAATGCAATTCTTAAATTGGGCTGGGCCTTTTCACTTTTCCCCTGCTGGTACAAACCTGTCGGACTCAAGTGCCACTGGTGGTTTCTTCATCTKGGGTTTATTACTTACAACAGAACAAAACCCACCAATGTCTCTCAAGGCTCTGTGTTTGCTGGAGGCTGGGAAGGAGTTCTGCTGATCTGTGTGTCTTGGGGCAAGACAAATAAACAGCCATGGACATCTTTGGGCTCAACATGGTTCTCACAGARTTAACAGCTGAAAAGGGCTTTTCCAGACCCGAGTTTGGGTTCAAGTTCAGCTATAATTCAGCATGTCTAGAGGCACATTTAGGGTCAGATTCATGCTGCCTAATTGATAGACAATTAAGGTATTTCCATTTGTAACCTAATCTCTCCAGCCTCCCTSTAATAAGAGGAGAAGGTCTGGAGCTCCTGAACAGCCTTCTGAGATGCCTGGCTCTGTTGTCCAAAAGGCGTCAGCTGTGGCACCAACATTKGGGGCTGTAAATTGTCAAAAGGAAGTGTCACAGAAATGCAGCAYCAGTGCTCAGCAAAGCAATGCTTTGCCCTGTCTAACTCCAACCTGGGTGCAAAGGCTTCCCTTCCCTTTGGCTGGAAAGGGCAGGAAAACAGCCCCCTACTCACTCCAGCACAGCCCTGGGATGAAATGCTGACTGCAGGGAAACACCTGCAGCCTCCAGCAGATCTGGGATTCCCTCCACCTAGATTATCAGTTACACTGCCCCGAGATAACACTGCTGTGCCCACAGCATGAGGGATGCCCGACAGGGGGCAAATTTTGTCCCTGGTTGCAGACTTGACTTGTGAAATCCACAGTTACATTAGTTCTGGGAGTAACTATTGTATGTGAGGATTTATTGTGACACTGAAGTCTATCAAGGTATGTGACATTTGGGATGGGTGAGGTGGCTGCTGATATCTTGTAAATGTAATAAATATTATAAAAACAGTCTTGACATCACAAGTTCAGAAAGAGCTGGTGCTCTGACAAAGCTGGCCAGCAAAAGCACTTGTTCTCTTCTAGGAAAAAAAATAAATGCCACTCTGGAGCCTGATCCTGGCAGGACGCAAAACTCAGGTCTGCAGTACCAGAGTCAGAGTCCAGGGCACCCAAGGGAAAGACACCCAACCCCAGTGACCAAAGCATGGGATCCTTGTTTCAGAACAGTTGAACAGTGAAAAACTCAGCACTTCCAAGGACACCTGTGTGACAAGACTGCAGTATGACAACATGTGATCCCCTGAGACCCTTAACAACTGCAAAATTTGGGTGTTTAGATACAAATGTGAGTCACCATCATGGATGACCAGGAGCATTTGTGCCAAGGCACGGGCTTGCACAGAACTGCAGGAGAGCARGCCCTGAGAGGAAACAGCTGCACCCACCTGTGAAACAGATGTTTCCTAAGGGTTTTCCACTTCTTAACTTCCTGAATGCTTAATTATCCTGAAGGAAAAGTGCAGGGAGGGAGGGCTTTTTTGAGGTGCACTTGGACAGCTTGTTTAAGGAGACTGCCACAGAACTCCTGTGGAGCACAGCTCCAGTGTCCCTCACCCCTTTGTGTCTCRGGGAGTTTGGTCCTCAACACCTGCACAGGTGAGGCACAGCAGGAGGTGCTGGAGGTGACATGGCTTGAGAAAGAGAAGGGGCTA